GCTGTGTTGTGTCACTTCTTCTGCCGCTCGGCACGGGCCCCCGCCACCCCCTCTTGAGAGCCCCAGGATCACCGCGACGTAGCAGGCATGGCGTTAAAAGGGGAGCTGCACTTGCCTGCTCATGACCAGATCGGGGTGGGTCTCTGGCGAAACGCTGGTCTAGGCACCCTGACCCCTCCCTTCTGACTACCTACCAGACCACCCCTAACCAACCCGAAGACCCGAATTTCGGGTTTGGGGGGGGACGGGCTTCATATGCGTGTTGTTCGATGTTCCCCGACCCCCCCTCCACTGGGAATGGAGGGCAAATCGGGGCCTTCGGGTTGGGTTGGGGTGGTTTGGTGGGTGGTGACCTTCAGCCACACGAACTCATCATGCCGATGCAGCAGACCTAACCTCATTAGATCCTTAGAACCCCAAACAGTTGGACACTGATGATTCCGTCGGCGACCTTCTTGACGGACTGGGGTCCCACCAACAGTTGGAATTAATGCATCATTCGCGGCACCCGCCACACAACAACGACGACGACGACGACTGCGATTAGGATTTCGACTACGATTGCGACAACAACCACGACTACGATTACGACTACAATCGCCACTACAATCACGATTGGAATCGCGATTACAGCCACGACTGCGATCATGACTACGCCTGATTCCTAATGCAAATCGAGTGACGAAATGCTCACACTTCCTCTCTCGTGTAAGGTGCCCACAACGGATTGTTCACTGAGAGAACACATCCCCCAACAGTACCCAGAACGCAAAACAAAGAACATATTCTTCCGCCGCGACGACAACGACTACGATCACGACTACGATTACGACGGCGAGCGCGAGTACGACTGCAACTACAATCACGACTACAATCGCGATTACAATCACAACTACAACCACGAATACAATCACGATTACAATCACGATTACAACCACAACGATTGATTACGTTTGCAATCCTCATGAGAAGAAGCTCACACATCCCCTCTCCCCCCCCGCCGATCGGCACAACTCGAGCACCCCCAGTGCCCTCGACGAGGCGCATCTGCTGGAGAGCGTCCCGAGGCGAGAAAACCTTCAAGAACCGACGGGAACTCCCTCCCCCCTGCGGTTAGGTAGGGCATGTCCCCCTACAGGCGGATGTTCGGCGAAAAATAACAAATAGTCAAAACATGCTCCCCAAAAAATAAAAATAAAAATGATAGAAACATCGTCCCCAGACCCCAGACTATTTGGGACTATGTTTGAATATTCCTCCTGCAGAGGGACATGCCCGACCTAACCCTACGGCTGCTGCGGCTGCGATCGACGACCGCCGGCGCTCCGCGGCGGCGGCCATCGATGGCCGGCGGCGGCGACCCCGCCGAGAGGGGGCGCGCGCGCGCGCGGCCAGCCTTGAGGCCCTGCAGGGACGCCTGCGAGGGCGGCGGGCGTACCCGTCGTCGAGGGCTTCGGCGTCGGCGTCGGCGTCGTCGTCGCCGTCGCCGCCGTCGTCGCCGTCGTCGTCGTCGGCGAAGAGTTCGGCGGCTTCCGCCAGCTTTTCCAGGGAGTGTTAGGTGGGGCCTGTCCCCCTACAGGAAGATTTGGGACGAAACATAAAACATCGTCAACATATTACTCAAACAAAATGCGCAGGAATTGCCAAAACATCGTCCCCTGCCTATTCTCTGGACTCTTTGTAAGTAGATTCCTCCTGTAGAGGGACATGTCCGACTTAAAGGAAGTGGTTGCTTTGGCGGCGCGCACAAGGGGGGGTGGTGGGTTTTTGTGATTAGGGGGTGGGGGGCGTCGTCTCGGGCTCATTTAGAAGGAGGTACTTCCTAGATGTCGCGCCTTACAATCTACAAATTAAGGCCTCGCCGCGCCCGGCCTCCCTAAGCAGCAGGGGTGCCCTTCTTAAGAAGCTCCCCCTCCTACCCCCGTCTGGCAGCGACTCCCTCCTCCTCCTGCTCCTCCTTCCTCATCCCCTCCCCTTCCTCCTCCTCTACCTGCCTCCGTCTCGCGCCTCCTCCGTCCTCCTCCTCCCTCCTCCTCCTGCTCCTATCCTCTGCTCCTCCTCCTCACCTCCTCCTCCCCCCTCCTCCCTCCTCCTCCTCCTCCTGCTCCTCCTCCTCCTCCTGCTCCTGGCTCCAGTCGGCTCCTCGCCGGCTTGAGCAGTACTCCTCCTGGCTCGAGCTCGGCCTCGCCCCGCTCGGCACCAATGTGCCGCTCACGTCGGACCCCTCTCGCGCAGGAAAAGTCCCGCTGCTGCAGGCAGCCGGCCTGGATGAAGGGGCCCTGGGGCACACAAACAAACAGACACGAATGACCAGTTTCCCCATGTTTCCCCTTATCTTCTGGGTATCTGTCCTCCCCCCCCACGTCCCATATTTTCCCATCTTTCCTGGCGAATCGACGAGTCGTTGTGTCTGTGTGGTCTTCCCCTCCTGACTGGAGGCCAGGACGACGACGACGACGAAGGTGCCGCAGCGTGCTGCCGCAGTGTGCGGCCCCTCGGCGGCGCGCGCAGGCGCGCGCGCGCCGCGCACGCTCGCCGTGTCCAGCGGGCGCGCTGCAGCCTGGCGGAGCTTCTGGCGCACGGCGCCCCGCCAGGCCTCGGGGGGTGGGCCTCGAGGGGGGCCCGCAGCACGGTGCTGGCGGCGCTGGAGCCGGCGCCAGCGCGAGGACGTCGAGCCCGAGGACGCCCTTCTGCGGGAGCGCGGCGTGGAGATGGAGGCGCACATCGCCGTCACCCGCACTGCGGCGCCTCCCATGCTGGTCGCGCAGGATCGCCAAGAGGTGGTCGTGGCTGCGGCGCTCCGTGGAGCGCTGGAGCGCAGCCAGGCGGCTGAGGCGGCAGACGCCAGCGCGATGGAGGAGCTTATCGGCGTCCGCACCCTCGTGGACGCCTTGCCCAACGCGGACAGCATGGAGCTGTTCGACACCACCTTCGAGATACAGGCTCCTATCGACAAGCTGACCCTCGCCACGCTGAACAACCAGTTCGAGGAGAGCGAGGCCATCCAGACATCGACTGATGGTGGAGGTACTGTCCACACGATGGCTGAGATGGACGCGATCATCTCACCCCCGTGTGGACAGCATAGACGACCCACCCAGCAATGAGAACAAGGGGCTGAGCGACACCACCTACGAGAGCTTGGTGTGCATCGAAAAGCAATTTCTCGACATGTACCCGCCCAGCGACAACAAGGAGCTGAGCGACACCGCCTGCGAGACTCCTGAGCCCGCTGATATAAGGAGGCCGTCGACCCGTGCGGCGAGGAGGCCACGGAGCAGTCGGCCCTCGTGTGCAGCACCACCTTCGAGTACAAGCAGTACGTGCGGGAGGCGAAGGTTTTAGACAATTTCGTTGAAGGAAGAACAGCGTACGAGCTGGTGCACTGCGAGAATTGCGACACGCAGGTGCCCCCTGGAGCGCCGAGCGTGCCGCCGTCTGACGAGAATGCGATCGACAAGTGCGTCGGAGAAGAATCCCCGCTGGCTCTATCTCGTCGGTGAGAACTGGGAGCCGTTCGGCGCTTGCGACAAAGACGCCGCACTCGAAAAACCGTACCAACTATTCCTGTCAGGAGATGGAGCCAAGGAAGTAAAAGTGAAGGCTGACTCCAAAATGTCAGTCCGCGTAGATCTTGCAGCTTTCTGTGTGAGGCCGCTTTGCATCAGTAAGTTCAACCATGTCAGGCAAAAATTATGGAGGCACTTTACAGTTGATGCGTTATGGAATGCTCTGTGCTATGAAGTGCCTGATTGAAAGGCCCCCTGTGGGTCGTCGGAATGAATGTTTGCTGCCTGTGTGAAGGTCGCAAGCTGCAATCGAATAGAGTTGTGTGATCTGGTAGACGAGCCAGTCGCTGGTGCTTCCCTGGCCTAATGGAGAGTCTTGAAAGGCCCCCTCTCCCTCTACGACAGGAGGAGCATTCAAAAATAGGCCGAAAATAGTGAGGGGACGATGTTTTTGAATTTATGTTTGATCATTTTGGTGCATTTTTGACGGTAGCATGTATTTTCGTCGAAAATCCGCCTGTAGGGGGACACGCCCGACCTAAGCCCAGGGCTCAGAACCTGCGATACCAGAGGCGCAGCGGAGTGAGATTCTAGAAGGAGCGCTCCAGTCCAATTCCAGAAAGGCGCCTCGTCGGATTTCTCACTGAAGAGATGGCGGTGCCACGGTGCATCCCTGTCGTCGCTGCGAGCCGACCTCGCTGCGACTCGAACCACGAGGTGGCTCTGTGCCACGAGGTTTTGGGTCGGGGTCGGGTCGGCCAACCCTTAGCCTCCCTCATTAGCCATGTGACTGTCCTCCTCCTGCTCGTCCTCCTCCACCTCCTCATGCTCCTCCTCCCTCTCCTCCATCTTCTCCTCCTCCTCCTCCTCCTCCTCCTCCTGCTCCTCCTTCTCCTCCTCCTCCTCCTCCTCCTCCTCCTCCTCCTGCTCCTCCCCCTCCCCCTCCCCCTCCCCCTCCTCCTCCGTCCCTCTCAGAAGGCGGCGCCAGGGTCAAGTCAGAACCGTGCCTGGGACGGCACATCGGTTGCAGCGCGCGGCTGCTGCACGCACTGCCGCTGGCAGAAGGCAGTCGCCCGGCTCGCAGCGGCGTTGTCTGAAGCAGCCTGGAAGAACAAAAACGACGGTATGCAACCTGACATGCTCTCGGCCAGAGGGGAGGAAGGGGGGGGAGGGGCAGGAGGAGAAGGGGCGAGGAGGAGGGAGGGGAGAGACAGTGCTCCTCAGAACTTTCCTGCGAGGTGATCCTCAGAACTTGTCTACGAAGCCAAGGCTGGGACACGAAACCGGACGGGAACGGAGTCGGGGATCTCTCAGATCGGGCGGCTCCGGAGGACGCATCGGGCGCCGGGGCCGCTCCAGGGCGCCCGGGAGCGCTCGGGGATCGGTCCGGATCGAGTGCTCGTGAACGGGTAGGCAACAGCTAAAGAGGCCCTGGGACACAAACCCCAGGACTCCCCACGTTCTGCTGTATTTTCTGGGTGTTCGTCTTCCCCCCCATGGTCCATATTTCCCCATGTTCTCCTTGGAATCGACGATGAATTGTGTCTGTGTGTTTTTCCCCTCCTGAACAAGGAGGGGGGGGTGGGGGGGAAACCGTGCGCCTCTCGGTGACTCTGTGTGCTCGCGGCGACAGCTCACGGGCCAACCGTAAGACGCCTGCAGAGCCACTTCCCTCATCAAGGAGCCCACCAAAAGACGCACGCGCCCAGCCGTGCGCACGAACGCGGCCCCTTGACCCGCGAGACCTGCAGCGCGATGCGAACATTCGCGCGATGCGAGCTCTCGAAACCAGCGTGGATTCGTGCACCTCCTCCTCCTCCTCCTCCTCCTCCTCCTCCTCGGCCTCGGCCTCGGCCTCCGCCTCCGCCTCCGCCTCCTCCTCCTCCTCCTCCTCCCTCCTCCTCCTCCTCGGCCTCGGCCTCGGCCTCGGCCTCCGCCTCCGCCTTCCGCCTCCTCCGCCTCCTCCTCCTCCTCCTCCTCCTCCTCCTCCTCCTCCTCCTCCTCCTCCTCCCCCTCCTCCTCCTCCCCCTCCTCCCACCCTTCTTCCGCTCCCGATGCCTGCAGTCCTCGACCCCCCGCGGCTCGTGGCCCCTCCGTGGCCGCCCGCCCGGTCGGAGCGCTCCGGAGCCCGACCCGCGACGTCACGATCTGGTTCACAGCGTGGGCCCCCAGAGGTCGTCGTCGTCGTCTCCTCCTTCCTCCCTCCTCCCTCCTCCCCCCCGTCGTCGTCGTCGTCGTCGTCGTCGTCGTCGTCGCCGCCGCCGCCGCCGTCGTCGTCGTCGTCGTCGTCGTCGTCGTCGTCGTCGTCGTCGTCGTCGTCGTCGTCGTCGTCGTCGTCGTCGTCGTCTCGAACCATCCCCAAGACTGGCTCGTCGCCCTGCGAGAGCCCCCGGAGGCCGAACATACTTGAGCAGGGGCCGGCCGTCCCGGCATCCGCACAGGCCTGCTACGACACGCTCGCAGAACCCACCAGTGGTCTAAGCCTAAGCTTAAGTCGGGCCTGTCCCCCTACAGAGGGATTTTCAACGAAAACTAAAAAATACTCCCAAACAAAAATCAAAGAATGCGCAACAATAATCTGGGGAATATGTTTTGCATGTTTGTTTTACCTTTTGGGGGTATTTTTGTTTTTCCTTTGTTTTTCGTCGAAAATCCCCTTGTAGGGGGACACGCCCGACTTAAGTCTAAGAACAAAGAACCGTGCTCTTAGAACACAGACCCCACGTGTTGAAACAACTCAATCTCGGCCAGTCATGTTCTGCGAACACGTCGTGCAGACCACAGCAGGTTCTCAGAACGCTCTCTGGTGGGCACATCGGCAAGCCGGGACGCTGCGCCACTGCTTGAGACAGAAAGGAAAGCCGCCGTCGTGTCGTTTGCACGGCGCGAGGGGGTCTGGGTTTAGGTCGGGCATGTCCTCCTACAGGCGGACGGAGTTAGGGGGAAAAATTAACAAATAGTCCCAAAATGCTGAACAAGTATTCGGGAATGGTAGGGAAATCGTCCCCATACGGCTGAATTTTCCCCTGTAGGTACAAGAAAAAAAGCATACACATAAACTGTTGGCGCTCCGCGCGGATTTCATGGATCCGCGCTGGGCCACCCTCCCTGGCGCGCGGAGCGCGCCAGGGGCGGCGCCGGAGGCGCCCCCGCCCGGGGGGCCCAGCGCGGATCCAAGAAATCCTCGCGGAGCGCCAGAAGTCTAAGTGTACGCCGCTGTTTTCTTCTTCGATAAAGGGGGACATCCTTCCTCCTCCCTCCTCCCTGCTGCTCCTCCCCCTCCTCCTCCTCTCTCCTCCTCCCTCCTCCTCCTCCTCCTCCTCCTTCCCTCCTCCTCCTCCCCCCCTCCTCCTCCTCCTCCTCCTCCTCCTCCTCCTCCTCCCTCCTCAGGAATCGTCGAAAGTCGGACCCTCTCGCATGCCTGCACGCGCGAGCAGCCAGAGTACGGCACAGGCCATGCGCAAGGCCGAGTCGTAAGAGTCGGCCTTGCGCATGGTAATCACTTAAAGTATGCGAGAGCAGAATAATACGAATTATCACTAGTATTACTCATATCAGTAGTATTAGTATTACTTCATTGTTAGTTATTACTATTTTTCCGTAACCCTCCTGGTGGTTGGGTAATTATTCGTCTGGAAAGCACAGCGGTCGCGTCTTTCCTCCCTCCTCCTCCTCCTCCTCCTCATCTCCACTCCTACTCCCGCCTCTTGCCTCCTGCCCTCTGTCTCCACGAGAAATCGCCTCTCTGGGGGGCTGTGATCTGCGAAACCGTCGCCACTTTCGAGGGCTGCTGCTGGGTCCAGCGGAGTGAGCACCCGCGCGGATCTGAGCGGGACCTCCCCGTCCCTGGGGTCGGCTGCGATCTGCGAAACGGTCGCCACGTTCGAGGGCTGCTGCTGGGTCCAGCGGAGTGAGGCACCGCGCAGATCTGAGCGGGACCTCCCCGTCCCTGAGGGGCTGCGATCTGCGAAACTGTCGCTACTTTTGAGGGCTGCTGGTGGGAGGCACCGCGCGGATCTGAGCGGTAGCTCGCCGTCCCTGGGGGGCTGCGATCTGCGAAACGGTCGCCACGTTCGAGGGCTGCTGCTGGGTCCAGCGGAGTGAGGCACCGCGCAGATCTGAGCGGGACCTCCCCGTCCCTGAGGGGCTGCGATCTGCGAAACTGTCGCTACTTTTGAGGGCTGCTGGTGGGAGGCACCGCGCGGATCTGAGCGGTAGCTCGCCGTCCCTGGGGGGCTGCGATCTGCGAAACGGTCGCCACGTTCGAGGGCTGCTGGTGAGTCCAGCGGAGTGAGGCACCGCGCGGATCTGAGCGGTAGCTTGCCGTCCCTGGGGGGCTGCGATCTGCGAAACTATCGCCACTTTCGAGGGCTGCTGGTGGGCATGCCAGATTCGAGGGCTGCAGGTGGGTCCAGCGGATTGAGGCACTGCGCAGACCTGAGCGGGGCCTCGCCGTTCTTGGGGGGGCGTGTCATGTTGTTGGCGCCCCGCCGACGTTTCATGCCCCTTGCCCACCGTCTCCTTCTAGACCTCGCGTCTTCCTTAGTGACTCAGGGATTCACTTAGTTACTCATCGTGTTTCCCTTGATTGGGGACCTGCGAGCCTTCCGAATGCCGCTCGCAGAAGTATATGCGTCCATGTCACGTCGCCGCCTTCTCGTGAAACCTCCCAAGCTACTCCTGTCCCGCATGGGGTTGGGTACGTCGCCATGGTGGTTATGATTCGCATTAGTATCGTTGTATGTGTTGTCATGTTTCGGTTATTGCTCTTCTTCTTACGATTATCATCATTATTCATCCGCAAGGCCCCCAGGTGGTGGGAATGCGGCGTCGCACTCTTCGTCGCGAGCTCACGGCACGCTTCTGAAGTCGACTGCCGCGCATCGAACCGGTCTGTCGCGCGCGGCCCGCGGCCCAACCTGGGATGCCTTCGGCACCGGGAGCGGGCTGGTGTGGAGAGGGAGACAGCTGGGACCCCTGCTCAAGACGAAGACTGATCGCGGAAACGTCGTGTCGATCCTGACTACCGTCGATCCTGGTCAGCGTCCATTCGTGGATCATCCTCGCGAATGGGCGACGGCCGACATGGACCATGACCAAGATCGGCATCCACGAAATCCCGCAACATGTTGGTCATGATGCCCGTGCTTCTTCCCTCGATGGTCGGCTGATTGGGAGTCTCCGAAGCAGAACAGTGCCGTCAGTTCAGCCCAGATCTCCACTGGGAAAGCCCCATGCAAGACGATCTGGACCCTCCCGCAACCGTCTGGGTGAGGCACAGCTGCTGGATAGCAGTCCGACGCGCGAAAGCCTCCCCAAACCAACACACGCACACTTCCAAAACCTCCAAACTTCGACCCCCAACGTCACGATCGTTTCGTGACGGACCCGCCAAGGGTCCGGACCCCTGCATCCCAGGGATCGGCTTTTCATCCCGAATCGTTCTTCGGCGATCCCGGAGCCCTGCGAGGGCCCCCAGGGGCCGAAAAAAAATACACGATGTGATCGGCTGACCATGTGAGCTTCCAGTGCTTCACAGCCGGTGTCCGCCCCGCCGCGGGGAGGAGGAGGAGGAGGAGGAGGAGGAGGAGGAGGAGGAGGAGGAGGAGGAGGAGGAGGTAAGAGGGGAGGAGGAGGAGGAGGAGGGAGGAGGTGGACGAGCAGGGGAGGAGGAGGAGGAGGGGCGGAGGAGAGGAAGCGGGGAGAGGAGAAGGAGGAGCAGAAGGAGGAAGAGGAGGAGGAGGAGGAGGAGGAGGAGGAGCAGGAGGAGGAGGAGCAGAAGCTTGAGGAGGAGGAGCAGGAGCTGGAGGAGGAGAGGAGGAGGAGGAGGAGGAGGAGGCGGAGGAGGAGGAGGAGGAGGGGGAGGAGGAGCTGGACGATGGAGAGAGAAGGAGCAGGAGGGAGGACGAGAAGAGGAGGAGAAGGAGGAGCAGGAGGAGGAGGGGGAGGAGGGGGAGAAGGAGGAGGAGGAGCAGGAGGAGGACGGGAGGAGGAGGAGGTGGAGGAGGAGGAGGAGGAGGAAGAGGAGGAGGAGGAAGGAGGGGGAGGAAGAGGGAGGAGGCAGGAGCAGAAAGGAGGAGGAGGCGGAGGAAGAGGGGAGGAGGGAGGAGGAGGAGGAGGAGGAGGAGGAGGAGGAGGAGGAGAGGAGAGGAGGAGGAGGAGGAGGGGGAGGGGGGGGGAGGAGGAGAGGTAAGCGGAGGAGGAGGAGGCGGAGGAGGAGGGGAGCAGGAGGAGGAGGAGGAGGAGGAGGAGGAGGCAGAAATTGAGGAGGAGGAGGAGGAGGAGGAGGAGGAGGAGGGGGAGGGGCAGGAAGAGGAGGAGGAACAGGAGGAGGAGGAGGCCATGTGCGCTTCCAGCGCTTCACGAGGATGCCTTCATGATCCGCAGCTTCTTCTCCGAGCTCCCCGAGCGGCAGAGCTCCTTGTTGCACCACTCCTCGGCTTCGAGGACACGGGGGAACCAGCAGCAGCAGGAAGGGTGAGCAGCGCCACGAGAGCAGAAGGAGGAGCAGGATCAGGAGGACCCTGATCTCGGACGAGAGCAGGAGGAGGAGGAGGAGGAGGAGGAGGAGGAGGAGGAGGAGGAGAAGGATCAGAGGAGGAGGAGGAGGAGGAGGTAACAGAGGGAGTCGGGAGACAAAACCTCCCGCGCGAGCGGTTCGCATCTCCCGAAATAGTCTGCCAGTCAGGCACACCCACGCCTTGCACGGGGCGCCCTCGAGGCCGCAACGACAGGCCGTCAACAGGCACCAGACGAAGTCCCGGCCCACCCAGCGCACGCGGAGCGGCCGCAGGGCGCTCACGACTGGTCACCGACTGGGCACCAGGCGAAACCCTGGCGGACCCAGCCAGCGCACGGGGCGCCCACGAGGCGCCCAAGACCCGCCGCCAGCCGGGCACAATGCAAAACCCGAGGGGCAAGCAGGAACCCTTTTGTGCAAGCCGTCTTGGGGGGAAGTTGCGGACTCCTCCATCCGTGTGCAATACCCCAACACAATTACACACACTCACACATACATATCGATACATATATATATATATATATGTATATATATATATATATATATATATACTAGAACCACCACGCGCGCGCTTCGCGCGCGCTTAGGTTCTAGTAGGATCATTCTCGCTGGGAGTTTGACGTAGCTTCTCGGGAGCCTCTGAACCTGTCGGGGGCCTCCTGGAAGCAGGTTCGAAGCATTTTGGGGGCCGATTTGGGGCTTCTCGGGGCCTCCTTTGGGCCTCTTGGGGGTCTCCTGGGGCCTCTTGAGGGGCCTCCTGGGGCCTCCTGGCGGCCTCTTGGGGCGGAAGGCTCGAGCTTGCGGTTCGTGGTCCCCCTCTGGGCCCCCTCTTGGGCCCGTCTTGGGGCCCTCTTGGGCCATCTTGGGCGCCTCTTGGGCCGTCTTGGGGCCCTCTTGGGCTGTCCTTGGGCCCTCTTGGAAGCTTCTTGGGCCGTCTTGGGGCGGTCTTGGGCGCCTCGTGGGCCGTCCTGTAACGTCGGAAAGCCCAAAAAGCAACTTTGTGAAAAATGTACGTTTTACGAAGGGAATGGGCCAATGTTTGCGTCTAGGGGCCCTCTTGGGACGCATGTTGGAGGCTTCTTGGGGCGTCTTGGGGGCGTCCTTGGACGTCTGGAGGCCATCTTCAGCATCTTGGAGCCCTCTTGGAGGCCTCTTGGAAGTTTCTTGGGCCGTCTGGGGCGCTTCTTGGGCCGTCTTGTCTGACTGGGGAGGCCTCCGGCAAGCCCCGACGAGCCTCCGGGCCCCCCGGGGCTCACATTTGTGGTCGGGGTCCCGGCCCCGGGCCCCCGGACCCGGTGCGCCGTTATATGTATATGTACACATATTTAAATACACCCGAAAGTATCATTGCGAGTTGGGGGGGCGGGCTTCTGGCGCCAAAACGGCCCCACGGCGGCCCCAAGAGGGCCCCCAGAACGGCCAAAGAAGACGGCCCCGAACAACAGTCCACGCGGCCGCACAGCAGCCCGAAAGGCCCCCCAAAGCGCCTTCAGCCCCCGGAGAAGCCCCCCAAACAGCCATTCGCCGTCCCAGAAATCATCCTCGATGCCTGGAAGTTTCCAGAGCACCTCCCGAAAGCTCCAAGGGGACCCCCAAGAGGGCTCCATCAAGCAAAGACGAACGCATTTCGTTCGGACGTTTCCAGCATATTCTTATTCATTGTTCCTGGTCGTCCAAGCCGGCCCCGGGGGCCTCCCACATCGCCCCCAGATGGCTCCAGACGGCCCCAAGCCGCCCAGGAGGCGCCAAAGACCACCCAGGAGGACCCTGAGAGGGGGCCCGAGAGGGCCCAAGAGCTCGTGCTCGGATCCCCTCGCGGGTGCGGCTTGAGCTCCATCTGGCGTGCGAGCCGCAACTCCTGACCCAGACCGAAGGGGAGGAGGAGGAGGAGGAGGAGGAGGAGGAGGAGGAGGAGGAGGAGGAGGAGGAGGAGGAGGAGGAGGAGGAAGGGGGAGGAGGGAGGAGGAGGAGGAGGAGGAGGAGGAGGAGGAGGAGGACCGGCCGCCTTCGCATTGCCAGGGCGGCGGGCGCGTGTCGGGCCCAGAGGCTGGAAGACGGCCTCCGGGGGCTGCGGCCGATCCCGCCGGCCACCCGAAGGTCCAAGACAGTCCAAGATCGCCCCGCGGCGGCACCAGAGGCGCCCGACGGCCCAAAGCGGCCCCGAGATTGTCCCAGAGGCGCCCTAACACGGCCCAAAGAAGCCCCCAGAGGGCCCCCCACGAGGAGGCGAGGAGGAGGAGGAGGAGGAGGAGGACCAGTGTAAACCCACGAATCATCAATGGTGTTGGAGTTAACCCTCCCTTCTAGTTCCCTCTTCATAGGCCCCTACAACGGCTCGTATCCATTGAAGGAACTGCCTCGTTGGAACCTTTTGAAGACCCTGAAGCATGCCAAAACATGTTTCTCGGGGTGTCACACGCCACGGATTAACCTGACTGCTGCGTCTTGACGATCCGGAATCTTGCCAGAACGCAATGTTTGGGGACTTCAACACCGCGAATCAACAGAACTGTTGCACCCACAAAATCCTGAATCTCTCCAAAACATAAATTCTGGTACATTGATCATGGGAATCCGTGAAACTCCTGCAAATATTGAAAACGAATGTGCGCGGCGCTACGGTGAGAACCACATGTTACAAACCACCCGCCCTCAATCCGCGAACCTCTTGCAATTCTTAAACATGCGTGCGGTGCTAAGGCGAGAACCACATGTTGAAAAACAACCGCCCTGAATCCATGAAACCCTTGCAACTTCTTAAAACGAATGTGCGCGGCGCTACGGCGAGAACCACATTTTGAAAAGCACCCGCCCTCAATCAGTGAAAAACTTGCAACTTCTTAAAACGAATGTGCGCGGCGCTAAGGCGAGAACCACAAGATTAAACCACCCGCCCTCAATCCGTCCCTCAATCCGTGAAACGCTTGCAACTTCTTAAAACGAATGTGCGCGGCGCTAAGGCGAGAGCCACATTTTGAAGGGAACCCGCCCTCCATCTGTGAAACTGTTGCCACTTGAGCTTCAGAATCACAAAGGCGAGGAAGTCTCAGGCGAAACGCCCGGCCCGCCCTGGGGTGCGGCAGGGAGAAGTTATTTATAAGGAAAAGGAATCGAGGAGAAGGAGGAGGAGGAGGAGGAGGAAGAGGAAGAGGAGGAGGAGGAAGAGGAGGAGGAGGAAGAGGAGGAGGAGGAGGAGGAGGACCCCAGGGCTCCCAAACGGCCCCCCTCGAGGCTTGAGCGCTGCCTCCAAGGAAGGGGGACAAGAAGAGAGAGGCCCCCCCGCTGCCAGAAATAATCAATTGACTGACGCTCTGGTCGCCCTACAGACTGCCAACTGGGCGACGACGACGACGAACGACGAATGACGACGAACGACGAGCGACGAACGACAACGAACGACGACGAACGAGGAACGAGGAACGAGGAACGAGGAACGAGGAACGAGGACGACGACGACGACGACGACGACGACGACGACGACGGACGACGAACGACGACGAACGACGAACGACGAACGACGACCGACGACGACGACGACGACGAACGACGAACGACAACCACGACGACGACGCCTCGTCGCTCCGTGGATCGGCGGCGAGTGAGATAGGCGGTGTTCTGCAACACGTGCAGGCGACATGTGTGTTCGCAGCATCTCGTGCTCTGGACATCCGAAACACGCTGCCCCGCTGCGATCTTTACTTTGCCGCGACGCCGCTCCGACGGCTCCGACGCGGCCCGAGGTGGCGTTGCGCTTGGCTCGGCCCGCTCCCGCGTCCGCCGCAATCCCAGCGCGAACATTCCAACGCTGCTCAGGCCTGGTCTTCGGAGCGGTGTGACTTCGCGAAGCTCGAACAACCTCGGCCCCCGCATAACTGCACTGGGCGCTTTCTCAGTGGGATAGCATCAGAACAAGACTTCAAACGAACAGCGGTAGTAGCTGGCAACCTCGCACAACCCAGCGCGCGCCACCTAACTTGGGCGCCCGAGTTGGGGTAACGCGGGTTTGGATTCCCGAAAAACGAACCCGAGATAGCCCTGACCCGAGCTACTCCTGATGATTTGGGGCTCTGGGCGCCCGAGTTATCCGGGTAACTCGGGTCCGGGGTAACTCGGGTTTGGATTCCCGAGAAACGAACCCGAGTTATCCCTGACCCGAGTTACCCCTGATGATTCGGGGCTTTGACTAACTTCGATCGGCTCAACTCCGTGCATTGATCCACGTGTTCGCACTCGCTTTTGTATATATATAATATATACAGACGACTGAAAGAGAGAGAGGCAGAGAGATTAACAAACAGAGAGCTAGAGGTCTCGATGACGTAGGGGATGTTATCCTAACGCGGACCCGTTGCTCAGGTAACACTATGAAGACCAATGCATGCTGCTGTTGCGCCCTATCCACATAAACCGTTTTGCAGCCCGGCCACACATGTGCCGCTTGTACATGAGCCGCGGGGAGGCCGACAAAGTGTGGGGGACAGGTGCGCGCAACAGCTAGAACAATTCAACAACTCGAGCGCGATAACTAAAGAAACCGATCGTTATTGGAAAACCCCTGCCGCTCCACATAACAACACAAATTGCAGAACCCCATACGGAACGACCTCCTTTGATCATTTATGCCTTCAATTTAATGTGTGCTATGTGTTGCGAGCAACGTGGTGTAAGGTATACCGTGTAAGCCCACGTCTTACCGCCCTCGGTAACAAGCGGCCCGATGGAGGCTGGCGTTGGTCCGATGTCCGGCGTCAGGGAAAAACTCGCCCGATGCTGTAGCGAGACTGCATGTTCACAGCGAAGCGGCCTCCACCTCTGTAATACTTGAAGCTGCTGCGACGAATCCGAGCGGTGCTGAGGCGAAAACAGCATATCGAAAGCCATCAGGCATCAATCCTGGTAACCGCTTGCTTATGTCAGGACGAGGATGTGCGGCGCTCAAGCGCAAGTCGCAGTTTGGAAACAGCCAGCCGTCCATCCTTAGAACTGCCCGAGTTCCTAGCGCTAGAACGATATAGCGCAAAGGGAGTCAGGAGGGGGAGTGGGGAGAGAGGAGCCGGACGGGGAGACTCGGGGTCTCCACCTTGGAGGTCTGAGTAGCTCCTCCTGCCCCGTCCTCCTCCTCCTCCTCCTCTTCCTCCTCCTCCTCCTCCTCCTCCTCCTCCTCCTCCTCCTCCTCCTCCTCCTCCTCCTCCTCCCCCTCCATCCTCAACCTCAATCTCCTCCTCCTCCTCCTCCTCCTCCTCCTCCTCCTCCTCCTCCTCCTCTTCCCTCCTCCTCCTCCTCTCTCTTCCTTTCCCCCATCTTCCTCACTCCTCCTCCTCCTCCTCCTCCTCCTCCTCCTTCCTCCTCCTCCTCTCCTCTCTCCCCCGACCTCCTCCTCCTCCTCCTCCTCCTCCTCGACCCCCCAAGATTCCAGCCTCGACCCTCGGGCCTCGACCCTCCACCCCTGGGCGACGGGGGGGGGGCGGCGTGGCGGACCGGGGGGCGCGTCCTGCTGGAAGGAGACGGCGTCGGCCGCGGAGGTGAAGTTGATCGTCGCGTAGCCGAGGTTCCTCATGGCCTTCCGGGGGCGAGGGCCTCTCGTGCTTTCGATGTCAGAGAATCCACCCCCCATACTCACCACCCCGACACGCGAAGCCGTTCCGTTGAAGCGCCCAGGGAAGGACTCGAGCAGGGCAGGGCTGTTCAAGTAAACGCCCAGGGCCTCATGGGGCCTTCCGCGGGCGAGGGCCTCTCATCAGAGGAGCTAAAAGCCACATCGACATACACGTTTGGCGCTCCGCGCGGATTTCTGAGATCCGCCGTGGACCCCCCTCCCTGGCGCGCGGAGCGCGCCAGAGGCGGCGATCCTGGAGGAGGAGGAGGAGGAGGAGGAGGAGGAGGAGGAGGAGGAGGAGGAGGAGAGGGAGGAGGGAGAGGAGGAGGACGGAGGAGAAGGAGGAGGAGGAGGATAAGGAGGAGGAGGAGGAGGAGGAGGGAGGACGGAGGAGGAGGCGCCGGAGGCTATCGACTGGGCTCGATCCCTGGCCCGCCACTGAAGGGCTCCGCGCGGGCACGACCAGGAGCGCAGCCAGGTCGGCGCCGGGCGCTCCGAGGAGCTGCCCTCCTCCCTCCTCCCCTCCCCCTCCCTTCCTCCCTCCCTCCCTCCCTCCTCTCTCCCTCCCTCCTCCCCCCTCCCCTCCCTCCTCCCCTCCAAGGAGTTGCCCTCCTCCCTCCCTCCCTCCTTCCGCCCCCTCCTCTCCTCCCTTCCTCCCTCCCTCCCCACTCCTTCCTCCTTCCTCTCTCCCTCCCTCCCTGCCTCCCTGCCTCCCTGCTTCCCCCGTGGAGCTGCCGTGGAGCTGCCGTGGACCGGACTGTTCCCGGAGCAGGCGGCCGGGACCAGTCGACCCGCGATCCCCGCTCGCGTGCCTCGGGGATGGACAGACCCCCCTGTAGCAAAACGTGGCTTCGTGAAAGCGACCTGAGGCCCGAACCTCGCGGGCGCCAGCCCGGACAATAGCGGCCGCGGCGCCCTCTCGAGAGCCGAAGACGGACGGCTCATCAATCGACGTGTCGCTAGAAAAGGCCACTCAGAGGTGGAAGAGTTCTGTTCCCGGAAACACCTGACCAATCTCGGGGGCGTCCACGAGGATGCGTCCAAGAGGGGGGGCCGCAAATCATGGCCAGCGTCATGTGCGCGGCCCAAGGGGGGTGGCCAGGGACGTAATGAAATAAGAAGGGGCGCCATGAGATCTGAGGAGACAGCATGGCCCACGCTATGATATCTACCCCCCCTAGTCATCACTTGAGTAGGGCTGTAGGGCTGAAGGTTCAGGTCTGCAGAACACCCCAAACGGACGTCAGAGGGCGCAACCAACCTGTCCGGTGAAGCTGAAACTAGTGTACCACACCCGGCGTCAAGCCAAAACTTTGGACATAAGCGAACGGTTGGATGTTGCACATCTTCGTCGGCTTCGCCGACGAGGCGTGTGACCACCCTGACGTCCCGTCGTTGGCAGTCCTGCAGGGGAGGGCGCGCTCTGACCCTCGGCCCTACTCAAGTCGTCACCCCCCTCTTTTCGGGCGTTGGCGGAACTGGGTTTAGTGGAACCTGGTTTAGTGACTTGTACCAGGGGCGCCCCCCCGCCCCACTTCCACTATCCAGAACTGCCGGCACCCGAGACACACCAACTACGGCAAACCTGGTTTAGTGAATCTGGCCGATTGAGGGGCCCCACGGCCCTACCACTAACAAGGTCCCCTTACCCGGGGCCCTGGCCATCCCCGATCTTTGCCGCCCCGCACCATCCGCCGTGGAGCTGCCGTGGGCCTGCCGTGGACCGCCGCGGGGCCCGGGCTCCTCGTGGCCTCCCGGGGCCAGGGCCGGGGAGCGCAGCGGCGTCTCGCTGGGGATCGGCGCGGAGGCCGCCGCTGGGGAGTGCCCCGCGCGGCTCCCAGAGATCCGCGCGGAGCTCCGAAAGCCCATGCTTGTGCAATGTGGTCTCTCATCCGCCTCCTCCTCCGCCTCCTCCTCCTCCTCCTCCTCCTCCTCCTCCTCGTCCTCGTCCTCGTCCTCCTCCTCCTCCTCCTCCACCTCTTGGTCCACTTAGCCGGCGCAGCGTTTCACCCTCTATACTTTGCGCAATTAGGGGCAAACCAAAACTGCATGAACATAGACGTTTGGCGCTCCGCGCGGATTTCTTGGATCTGCGCTGGACCCCGGGGCAGCGCCGGAAGCGCCGCTGGGGGGGGCCCAGCGCGGATCCAAGAACCTCGCGCGGAGCGCCAAAAGTTGCTGTTTATGCCGATGTTTCTTCTTCGAGCAATGTGGCTCCTCGATCCCCATCGCCTTGACTGCCGACATCCGCCGATATGTGTTCATGCATCCGCGGCCTCACCGCTTCCCCGGGTCCATATCTGCTTGTCCAGGATCCAGATCTGATTGCCCCAGATGCGGATTGGACTGTCCCTTGGCAAGAAGACGGCCACTGAGGACCGATATCACAGAAACACGCCTGGATTGATAGGGAAACGAACAACGTGACATAACCGTACAAACTCGGAGGTCATCGCGGATTTCTGGGATCGGCGCTGGATCCCTCTCCCTGGCGCGCGGAGCGCGCCAGGGGCGGCGCCGGAGGCGCTGGAGGGCGCCGTGTTCCCAGATCGGTCGTGGGCCGATCATGTTCTCGACCAATCTAGAAGAAGAGAAAACGGCATACACATATACTGTTGGCGCTCCGCGCGGGTTTCTCGGATCGGCGCTGGAGCGCGCCAGGGGCGGCGCCGGAGGTGCCGCCAGGGGGCTCCGGCGTCGCTCCGAGAAATCCGCGCGGACCTCAGAGTTTTTTATGCTTATGTAATCGTTCGTTCCCCTAGAGGGAGGGGAGGAGGAGGAGGAGGAGGAGGAGGAGGAGGAGGGGAGGAGGAGGAGGCAGAGGATAAGGAGGAGGAGGAGGAGAAGGAGGTGGAGGAGGAGCAGGAGGAGGATAAGGAGAAAGGGTGAGAGAGGAGAATGAGCAGGAGGAGGATGAGCAGGAGGGGAGGAGGAGGAGGAGGGGAGGAGGAGGAGGCGGGAGAGGAGGAGGAGGAGGAGGGAGGAGGAGGAGGAGGAAAAAGGAGGAAGGAACGAAGGAGGAGGAGGAGGAGGAGGAGGAGGAGGAGGAGGAGGAGGAGGAGGAGGAGGATGGGGGAGCGCGGACCTCCGAATTTTTGATGCTTAGGTCATGTCTCGCTCCCCGAACTGAGCAAACCCAGCCCTGAGACCCCCAGGACGCCCGTGGATTTTTGGTACGGGACCGCCGCGGTGTCCATGGCAAAGCCATCGAAACCCAGGAAACCGAGGGCGCCCTGGAGGCGAGCAGGGTGTCTCCTGGCATGGGCCTCCACTGCATCATGGAAAGACGCCTGGATTGAGCAGTGGTACTGGCGGCGGTCCGCGCCCCAGCGCCTCCCCCAGGGGTGGGCAGAGGAGGAGGAGGAGGAGGAGGAGGAGGAGGAGGAGGAGGAGGAGGAGGAGGAGGAGGAGGAGGGAGAGGAGGAGGAGGAGGAGAAGGAGAAGGACGAGGAGGACGTTAGGACGTTAGGGTCTTACACAAACGTCTCTCGCATCCAGCGACCCGATTACTTAGTAATCAGAATCTTCAGGCTCATCACTCCTGCGCGCCAGGAGCCGAGCCTCTTCTTCGAGACGCCTCTCAGCTCGGCAAAACATAACCGCCGCACGGGGGTCATTACAGCCGTGCAACTGAGCAACTCGATACAGATCAAGAACCTCGGGGAAAACCAACCCGTACTCTGGGACAGGGTGACAACTCCGCTCCGAGGCCTCTTGAGCAGCAACCAGTCTCCCTTCCCACAACGCTCGGACCTCTTCAGACGGCTCAGCACAACCCCCGAGCATCGGGAGAGGGGACACCGTCGAATTGGGATGCAGGTCTCTCCGAAGCCTCGACCTCTGGGTCGCCAGACCTGGGTGCTTGGGGCCGAAACAGGATCCCGCGAGGCCTTTTCCCAGGCCTGTGACTGTGCTGCACGCTCGCGCCGCACGAGATGCAAAACAAAACTGGGGCCCCCGATTCATCTCGGACGACGGGGGCCTGCACTACATTGTGCCTGGAGAACCTCCAAGTCTGACAACTCACCCGCTTAAGCCCCGAGATGTGGGGCACCAGGTCGGGAGAAGAAGCCGAGGAGCCAACGGAGGAACCGAGAGCAGCGGAACCAGAGCCAGCCGAGCCTTGACTTCCCTCTGGATAAAGGCGCGCAGGCACGGCCTCGAGGATCCGCTCCCGCTCGCGCAGCTCCAGCTGCGCGTCATACTCATCGACGAGACCTGATGGGACCTGCCCTGGCAGGTCGAGCACCACCTCCGCGGTCCCACCCACCCCCTCCGAGTCCCAAAACCCTTTATCATGCCGCCAGGTGTGCAGCCGACCAAGCCACTCCGCGGCCTGTGCCACCCGGCGCTCACAGCCTTCAACGATGAGCTCTTGCCCCTCATCCATGCTCCATAACTGGGCTCCAGCTCGGGCCCACTTATCGGCCAGCCTGTTGCCCTTGAGCATCCACAAATCCTCAAGAGACGTGGCCTGCTGCAGGGCTCGGTGAGCCTTGACCGTTTACAAGTTTCGTTGAGTCGCCAACTTTGGACCACCACAGCTTCCACATGTGACGGCGACTGTTGTCAGGACTCAGGGCGGTGGACGAGGAGGTGGCACACGCAACAGACCCAGCACAATCACTGAATACTTCAAGCGGCACCCCAGCATCTCCGTCACACGGGGTTCACTAAATCTGGCCAACATGTGAAACGCGTAGTCTTCCCCGTCCCGCGCCCACTGGTCAGGGCCCCACCCCCGAGGAACCACCCCATACATGCAGGCAACGAAATCGCCTCCATTGTCTACTTGGACGGCTGACCATCCTGCTCTTCTGCAGGCGCCGAACTTCGTGTGAAACGCTGAACCGTCCACAAATATGGCCCCCCCCCCAGCGCCATCCAGCCATGGCCCCGACAAAGCGAACCCAATTCTCCTCAGGCGCCTCGGGCTTCCCAAAACAGCGCTCGGGGGAGGGAAACAAACACCTGGAAAACATGTCAGCCTCATCCTCTCCTAGACGAGCCACGTTCCAGGCAGCCTGCCGAAGGCTAGCGGGCAGGTCAATCCTGCGAAGTGCGGCCGAGCAGGGGCAATCAAACCCACGGTGGAAAAGCGTGCCCCTGCAGCCACATAAAAGACACTTGTCCGACACCGAGTTTTTATGCTTCGCCAGCCTCGCCTGAGGCCAATGGGTGCCCGAAACCAGACTACGGACCAGGTCCCGCTCATGCCGAGAAAGGCCTTTATCAGCCTTGCCGTGCAGAATCCTGTCAAGGGGCCTCCAGTGAAGCTCTGAAACCCAGGAGCCAAGCATCTTAAGCGCTTGGATGTCGGATGCTGCCGAGGCCATGCGCCGAGCTACCTCGACCGCACGCCCAGGCGAAAAGAACTTCAAATCCACCTCCCCCTCAGGCCCAATCGGCTTGGTGGCAGAGGCCATGCCCCCTCCAACACGAGCGAGGGCGAAGAGGAGGGCCTGGGCAGGGTTGGTGCACTTGCCCCATGGAGCCTTTTGCCTGAGAATCGAACGACCCCCCTCTAGAACCGCCTCCAAGACCACTTCAGACGGCAGAGAGGTCTCCAAGCAGGCAGTCCAAGCTTTAACAACTTCACCCGTGTGAATCAGCAGGGGGTCCCTCCAGAACCCCCGATACATCGTCTTAATTCGGAGCCCTACACTGGCCCCCATGGGGAGCCTACCCTCAGACTTCGGCGGCTGGTTATCATTATACAGCCATGTCCCAGACAGGTGAGGGCGAAAGCCGACCTTGGAGCTCCCAAGTTCCCAACCGAGCGTGGCCAAAAGGTGACGACGTGCCACTGTGAGTTCTGCTCCTTGGGGCGCCCAGTCTATATGGGTGCTAGGGAAGAGCACCCGAAGGAGCCTTGCTTGGCGCGCCCGCGGACAAAACGGAAACGCAAAAGCACTGCCGGCGGTCCGCGCCCCAGCGCCTCCCCCAGGGGTGGGGAGAGAAGGCGGAGGAGGAGGAGGAGGAGGAGGAGGAGGAGGGAGGGAGGAGGAGCAGGAGGAGGAGGAGGAGGAGGAGGAGGAGAGGTAGGAGGAGGAGGAGAGGGAGGAGGAGGAGGAGGAGGAGTGAGGAGGAGGAGGAGGAGGAGGAGGAGGAGGAGGAGGAGGAGGAGGAGGAGGAGGAGGAGGAGGAGGAGGAGGAGGAGGAGGAGGGGAGGAGGAGGAGGGAGGATGAGAAGGAGGGAGGAGGAGGAGGAGGAGGAGGAGGAGGAGTAGGAGGATGAGGAGGAGGAGGAGGAGGGGAGGAGGAGGAGGAGGAGGAGGAGGAGGGGAGGTGAGAGGAGGGGAGGAGAGAGGAGGAGGAGGAGGAGGAGGAGGAGGAGGAGGAGGAGGGAGGAGGAGGAGGAGGAGGACCAACATCAACTCAAGATGCACCAATCGATGCTGCAACACACCCTCCTGTCCCAAGCCCCCTCCTCATCAATCCATACAAATCTTCGTTTCCACTGCGGGCTCACCCCTATGGAGTGACGATCGGTCAGTCGGTTTGCCAGTCAGACGAGGGCACCTGTGGTAAAGCCCCCCCCCTCTACCTCAAGGACCCCCAAGGTAGCCCCAGTTCGAGAATACACACGCCTTCCATCCGTCTAATTAAGCGTTGCAAGATATTAAAATCCGCCGACCCTGTCGGCGTGTGTGAAGGCTCTTCCGTTCGAGTCGGGCTTTCCCGTTCGACTCGTCGTCTCCGTCTTCCTTAGTTCTACTCACCTGGGCCCTCTTCCTCAGACCGGCCGTTCCACTCACCTGGGCCCTCTTCCTCAGACCGGCCTTCCACAGCGAAATTGAACAACCTGAGTGGAATCGAAGAGAAGCCCCTTCCCTTTGATCCCTTCCCCACGCGGGGGGGGGTCCTGGGGGGATCGTGGGGGCGTCCCGGGGGGGGTCCTCCTCCTCCCGCTCCCCCCAACTTCACATGATTCTCCCCTCGTTGTCCGAGTCGTCCTCATTATCTGATTTCTCCTCCTCCTCCTCCTCCGCCTCTCCTGGCCTCTCCTTACGGCCTTGGAGCTTTGGACGGTCACAAAAAAGTGCTCGGCACCTTCGTTAGCTATTCCTCCTTCTTCTGCTCCTCATCCTCCTCGTTCACCTTTTCATGATTGCCCTCCCCCACCACTGCTCCTCCTCCTCCTCCATCATCTCCTCCTCTTCCTAATCACCTCCTTACTTCCCGTAAGTCCTCCCCAGCCACCCCCTCACCATCATCTTCTTCCTCCACTTGCACACTGCTATCATCACCCTCATCCTGCTCCTCCCCCTCCTCCCACTCCCCGTCATCCTCGGGGAGACGTAAGACTCGGGTTCGGGGGGCTCGGGTTGGCCTGACGGGGCCATCAAGAAAATTAAGAGACCCAATCAGAAATTTGGCGCGAGCTCCCGCTGCAAACATCGCACAAGAACTGGACCGTCACAATCCAGGACGGGCCCGTCAAGAAGCGTTGGCTGGCCCGAGTTCCGGAGCAATTAGTCGAGTCTTACGTTTCTCCGACATTCTCGTTTCCTGGCATCGGACGATCTAGTTTTCGGCGGTGGACAAACCTCCCTCTAGTAAACCACCCTTTAGTGAAAACGGCCTGGGACCGAAGCCGACGGACCTGGACCAACAGAAATGTCGGCCGCGACGCCCTCTTGCGAACCGAAAACGGCCAATTCACTTAATTATCGACGTGTCAAGGTGGGGAGTCTCGGGTCGGGCGAAAGGGGGGGATAGCAGAGGGGGGGTTTGAGAATCAGCTCACGTAGCTGATTTTCCCAGCGCCTCCCGGCGCCAGAGGCGGCTATGTATCGAGGAATGGGCCCCTCGGCGGGGCCGAAACCAGCTGCATGCAGCAAATTTCGTAACGCCCCCTTTCCCAATCCCCCCCTTTCGTCCGGCCCGACTCTTGCGAACCGCAAACGGCCAATTCACTTATCGACGTGTCACGGTGGGGAGTCTGTCCACCCCCGATTCTCTTAGTCTGCGGCACCAGGGAGACCCCGCTTCTCCGGGGGCCATAGCCTTGCGCCCCGGGCCCCTGCTCGATGGCCCCCGGGGGCCCCCCGGGAGGCCAAGACCGCAGAACACCGCCCAGATCGAGGAGCGCAGACGACGACGACGCCGGCGCCGACGCCGACGGCGCCCACGCCGACGCCGACGCCGACGACAGGGGCGACGGCAACAGGAAGCGAACGCTCGTGCCAGAACATATTCTCCGTTCCCCGTGGTCAATGTCGGCGGCGGATGTCTCTTGCGCTTCGCCGCGGACGTCCCCCGACGCGCCAGCTTTGAAGTTCGGGGGAGAGGGGAGGGTTCCCCCAAAGCTTCCGCCACTCGTAACTCGGGGCTCGGGCAGCCGTTCGGCACGATCCTGCCACTCCCGGAACGCTTTCGGCGCAGCGCGGCCGCTGGAAAGCATGCCGAGGCAAGAGAACCCTCAAGGACCAATGACGGCTCCAGTGCGGGCAATATTTATATCCATATCCAGTGCGTCTTGGACTTTCTTGGAAGGGGCGCCGCAAGGCCGAGGCGCACTGGATATTATGGATAAAAAATTGAGCCTTCTGGAGGCAGGTGATAAGCCATATCCAGTGCGCCTCATGTTTCTCTTGGGAAGAGAGTCCGAAACTCCAAGACGCACTGGATGTGGATAAAGACATTGCCCGCATCCAGAACATGCCCGAGGCTGCTCCTCCGCCCTCGCCGCAGCCCCCCAAGAGTCCCCCTCGACGACGACGGCGGGCGCACTGCCTCGCTCGGCAAGCGCTCCGGCGGGGCGCGGGCCGGGCGGGCCTCCTGCTCCCAGGGGCAGTAGAAGAAGTCGAACGCGCCACGCATCGACGGGGTGAGGTCCTCGCGGCCAGGCCAGCGGCAGAATTGGGCGCCCGAGTTATCCGGGGTAACTCGGGTCCGGGGTAACTCGGGCTTGGGTTCCCGAAAAACGAACCCGAGTTAGCCCTGACCCGAGTTACCCCTGATGGATTGGGGCTCTGGGCGCCCGAATTATCCGGGGTAACTCGGGCCCGGGGTAACTCGGGTTCGGAATCCCGAAAAGCGAAGCCGAGTTAGCCCTGACCCGAGTTACCCCTGATGATTCGGGGCTCTGACAGAAGGCGGGACCCAGGCATGATCGCGCCGTAGAGAGCGACGACTTCTGTTCAGCACTTGTCGACCTCTGGGGGTCTTCGCCGATGACTCGGGGCGAGAAGCCGGTCCTTGGGAGAGGGCCAGGAATTCTGGGGGCCACGCGTTGACAAACGTCAAGACAAGGTGGCAACTCATGGGAGCCTCCAATGCCATCTTGTCGGCTCCTGCGAATCGATGTTGATCGACGCTAGTCGACGCTAATCACGCTAATCGACGCTAAGTCGACGTTAAATCGACGCTCACCGACGCTGAATCGGCGCTATCTCATCGACTCCCAGACGCTAATCGACGCTAGCCGACGCTAAAGACGCAGGCATACAAGCCTCCCATCACTTGCTACCGAAGATGGCATCCGGTGTCTGGTGTTCGAATTTCGAGTCGATCGCCGCGCTTTATCTCATTTTCACGCCTCCTAGATGGGGTCGGAGTAGATGGGGTCTGAGGATCGAGCCGCATCGCCGATACATCGGCGGTGCATCGGCGATGCTCTGGCGATGCACTGGCGATGCACCGGCGACGTCGGCGTGGAGCAAATCGGGCGCCACATCGAGCCGCATCGCCGATGCGTCGGCGAATCGGCGCGATCCTCCGACCCCATCCACTCGGACCCCATCCAGAAGGCCTGGAGTTCTTCCGCCCTTGAGGGACCTCCCCCCATGTGGTTGACCCAAAAAAGGACGCCCAGCTGGAAGGGGGTGGTGCAATAGATGTGGGGCAATAGTAAACGTATTGCGCCAGAGAGTTGTACTGCACTGTATTGCATTGCACTGTACAGTGCGAGCGCGACCGCAAGAAACCTCCGCAAGAAACCCAACACTGAAAACCCGCGCGCGAGGCGCACCAGAGGGGAAGCCGGAGCACCCTGAACGCAGCAGCTCCTTCAATGGCCGCGGGAAGTCGCTGCACAGCGTGCGGAGCGAAGAAACCCAGGATACCCTGACGAAAAACACATGGTTTCTAGATGCGCGCCCTCACTGTATTCCTCCGACCCCATCCACTCGGACCCCATCGAGGAGGCCTAGATCGTCGCTTCTCCGCCCCCCCGATTTGGACGCCCGAAATGGGTGCGGAAAGAATGGGTACAATGCCCAACAACGAATGTTGTCCCAAACCAGCAGCGGCCGCTCTTGGGCAGGCGGCCTTCTGCCTCAATCGGACACAGGCCGCGGCGACACCGACAGCGAGTCTTGTTCAGAATGGACAGGAACTGCTGTTGGGCATTGTACTCCAGATTTCACTATAAAAGGGAGGGGGTCACAACCCTCACAGACGGGCAATTCCAGACCCCCACGAACAAGCCATGAAGGGCGGCTTGTTGCCCAGACCCACTGGAACCCTCCAAGACAGCTCAAATCTGACCCCATCCCAAATCAGACCACCCCCCTTTTTTTTGTGGGGGAAGAGGCCAAGAGGCGGAGCCACGCCAAAAGGAGGAGCGAGGTGGAGGAGGAGGAGGAGGAGGAAGAGCGAGGAGGAGGAGGAGGAGGAAGAGCGAGGAGGAGGAGGAGGAGGAGGAGGAGGAGGAGGAGGAGGAGGAGGAGGAGGAGAGGAGGAGGAGGAGGAGGAGGGAGGAGGAGGAGGAGGAGGAGGAGGAGGAGGAGGAGGAGGAGGAGGAGGAGGAGGAGGAGGAAGGGAGGAGGAGGAGGAGGAGGAGAAGGGAGGAGGAGGAGGAGGAGGACCCATCTCGGGCGCCAAACCCGAGGCCTCCAGGGGAGGCCTCTCGCCGCCGCGGCCCGGCGCGCCGCGCCGCCCTCACCGAGGCGCGCGTCAGGAGAGGCGCCAGGGTCTGTCCACGAGCGGAGCACGGGCGGCGAGGAGGAGCGGCCCTCGCATGGTCGAGGCCGGGGAGGAGGAGGACGAGGAACGACGAGGAGTAGTTAGGAGGAGGAGGAGGATGAGGAGGGGGAGAACGGAGGAGGAGGAGGAAGAGGAGGAGGAGGACGAGGAGGAGGAGAACGAGGAGGAGGGGGAGGAGAAGGAGGAGGAGGAGGAGGAGAAAGAAGACGAGGAGGAGGAGGAGGAGGAGGAGGAGGAGGAGGAACGGCCCTCGCATGGTGACGCCTCCTAGCCGAGGCCGGGAGGGTCCGTGCGCCATCGCCTCCTCGCCGAATCCACTAAGGTAGGAGTCAGCTTCGACGGGGCGGGTTGAACAGTAGGATGCTACGGAGATGTGGGCAGTGACAACAAGAAGGGCCGAAACGAAGACGACAAGAACAACACCAAGAACAACAGCAACAACAACAACCACAACAACAACAATCATTTAAGACTGGGGACACTCCGTTCTCACCAGTGCCAGGGTTTTCATAGGAGGCGGGCAATACCCCCACTTTGTGGGGGGGCCGGTTCAAGCTCTACCAAGTTTCCAAACGACTCTTCGCCACCACCCACACCCAGCTTCCCGCCCTATGACGTTCGGACACTTCACTTCGTGGCATGCGGACGACCGTGGCTACTATTCAGGGCCCCGCGGCCGACGACGACGGCGTGCGCGCGCGAAGAAAAAACGAATGTGTCCCGCATGGTATTATTTGACAGGGATGATGGCCCTGGCAGGTGCGCAACCGTTGTCGCAGAAGTTCGAAAAAGTTGCTCGCAAAAGCCCGTTTGACAGAAATGATTAAAAAGTGTTGGGTTTCCTACGAATCCGCAAGAGCGCGCGGGATGAGATTTTGACATTTTTTTGTTGAAAAACCATTGGTTTTTTGATGTTTTTATGTTAAAATCGCTCCGAACACTATGCTTTTGGAAGGATTTCGTCTTGCGCGCGCGAATGTCCACTTTACTTTATTTTTTGCAAAGGATTCTTGAAATTTGATTATATTAGAACAAGAAATGTCATTTTATAGTGTTTTTTGCAAGGGAAAGCGGGGGGGAACAAAACAACCGGATCTTGATCACATCGAATTACCTGAGGCTTCCTCACGAAAATGATGAAAAATGTAGCTGCGGCCTAGGCGGCGCAGGGGGGCCGTGCACCAGGGGTCCCAACAATAATTATTCTTTAGAATTAATAATGTTCAACAACCACAACAACAACAACAGCAACAACAACAGCATCAACAGCAACAACTACAACATCAACAGCAACAACTACAATCATGTTAAGACTGTTACCATATGTTAAGACGGTTTTCGCTCTAATCTGCTCGAGTGCCATTTCAACGTGTTTTCCCCCATTCAACGTGTTTTCCCCAAACCCTCGATACCCGCCCCCTTCGTCTTCGATCGTGCCCCTTTTGGGGGTATATGTTTCTTCCCTGCAGGCCGGGCCCTGGCAAGCGGCGGGGCGGCCGCGGACCGTCGGCCTGGCCAGCGGCAGCGCTGATCGGCAGCAGCCCGACCCCAAGAGGGACGGACAGGGGACCGACCACGACGACGACGACGACGACGACGATGACGAGGACGACGACGACGACGACGACGACGACGGCGACGACGACGACGAGCGAAAGCGAGAGCGACAGCGGGGCCACGAAGGGCAGGAAAGGGGGCACGAAGGGCGACAGCGGAGCCACGAAGCGCATGCGTATGGGGCCACGAAGGGCGCGAACGAGCGCAGATAATGCAGAGCCATAAGAGGGCAACGACGGGCCCACTGAGGGTAGCAACGGGGCCACGAAGGGCAGCGAGGGGGCCACGAAGGGCGACATCGGGGCCACGAAGGGCATGCATATGGGCCCACGACGGGGGCGAACGAGCGGGGGCTACGAAGGGCATACATATATGTTGCCGCGAAGGGCAGCGAGGAAGCCACGAAGGGCTGCAACAGGGCCACGAAGGGCAGCAAGGGGGCCACGAAGGGCTGCATTGGGGCCACGAAAGGCAGCGAGGGGGCCACGAAGGGCTGCAACGGATCCACGAAGGGCAGCGAGGGGGCCACGAAGGGCTGCAACGGATCCACGAAGGGCAGCCAGGGGGCCACGAAGGGCTGCAACGGGGCCCCTTGAAGGGCAGCGAGATCCCGATTCCTAAGTAAGCTGTGAGGGAGTCCTAAGCGTGACCGCGAGTCCTGGGTGCGTGGGAGTTGGGAGCGCGGCGCTTGAATAAATTGCAAGGAATTCCAACGCAAGAGCGCGATTCTTGAGTAAATTACACGCAAGTCTCCAGCGAGAGCGCGACTCCAGAGCGGCGAGAGAGCGATTTCTGAATAAAGTATAAGGATGTCCCAAGCGAGAGCGCGATTCCTGAGTCAACTGCGAGGGGATCTCAAGTGGGAGCGGGGGTCCTGGCTAAATAGTGAGGAAGTCTCGGGCGGGAGCAGTTGTTGCTGTAAGCCAGGGGCCAACAACACAGTTTGAGCCCCGTGACTTTCCCTGATAAAAAAGGATGCGAGCCCCGAGGGAAACACTTCAATTGAAAAAACACAAACGGTCACCCGAGGGGGGGATCAACAATGAGATTCTTCAATAGCGAGATTTCAACAACAATAACAACAACAACAACAACAACAACAACAACAACAACAACAACAAACACAACAACAACAACA